AGCTGGATATTCTGTAACGACGGTTTCCTTTAATATAAATGGCTCTCGAGAAGACTTCACACCGGCATCGCTTGAATCTATCCGAATGCCATCGTCGTCGTGTATTTGTGCCATCGGTGGGTCGGCCTTCTGACACTGAGATTAAACTTATGGCGCGTTGGAAGTCAAATCGACGTGGACGGTTTTGCTCACCAAGAACACATTTTGTTCCTAGGGCGTTCCGTTAACGCGGAAAATATGTGTAAGAGGAAGAAAGCGGAATCAGGATCACTAGGAAATTTCCAACAAGCCATTGGTCAACTGAATAGCGACACGATGTTAGTTATGTGACGTATTTTTACTTCTGTGTGAAACTCAAGACTATCTAAACTTGTTTTTTATTGTTATAGAACTGATTTGAAATCTGCAACTACTACTAGAACAGATCGCGATGAAAAACACGTAGCCGTTCTAGAAAGAAAAGAAAACGGATTTTCCGTAAGGAATACTAATAAGTAAAAGGGATGGAACTTAGTTAAAATAGAAGGAAAGGAGAGGTCCTTGCCAAACTGATGTGTTTTAGTTCGTGTCAGTAGTCGGGCGCGGTCAATCGACGACACGTTCTTGGTGTGCGTGCACAACGTAAGTAACGAACACCCGTACGTCATTCTTCGAGCGAGTGTTCACTGTACTGCGACGGATATTATTCGACTAGTTGGTCTCTCTGTTTTGTTTGTTTGTTTTTGTTTGTTTCGAAACTTTCCGCTGTGTCTCTATGTTTCTTATCTTTGTTTCGGTGCTTTTCATTATCTTGTTCCAGGTTTTCCAAAAAGTTCATAGTTCTGATAACGACGAGAGCGATTTCGTATTGGTTGAGGAGACTTCTGACCATACGAAAGGAACCGTTAACTCAGGTATCTGTTATCATTTGAGAAGACCTTCATTCTTACGATGTTTTGAAAAATCACACTAAATATGATCGGTTTCGCTGAGGAATTTATTCATTTAGAGCCTGAATCCTTCCCTTTTTTCTTGTTTTGTAACTCTTGCAGTGGAACTCCTTGGTTGTTGATTTGAAATTTTAGTTTAAATATTAACCACCTTCACCAGGTTATTTAGTCGTCTTCGATGGGATGGAGTAGATCTCTGACTCAAAAATTCTTCGTTGCATTCGAATTAATACATATACGCCTCTTTTTTTTTTGAAAATACATCATGAAGAAGACTGTGGTCGCTCTTACTAATTTACTGAAACGACCCATAAAGCATATTTTAGGAATGCTTCTACGTTTCTATTAAAAAATACTGCCGCAGTTTCTGAATCATTGTTTGCAAGTAACTAGAACAAACGAGTTAAAAATTGAACCCAATAACTCTTTTTCTTGATTGAAGGGAAAAGTTGAACTTGTTGAGGTGTGCATCTGGAGTAATGCCATGAAGTCCTAGCTAATTAAAGAAGTTCTTTTCTGTGCGATACAGAAGATTTTTCATACAAAATGCAGAAACTGGTATCTTGAGCGTTCCTCACTGAGTTCTCTGCAAATAAAAACATTTCGAATATTAGCCTTATAAAGCTTTTTGCTCATCCTATTTTTTGAAACCCTTTGAAAAAAAGGAGCTTCAGCCTTTACTTTTTTCAACCCTGCTTTCAAAGCGATGAAAATTTTGTGGTGGTGAAGAAAAAATGAATATGTTTAAAGTTTTTCTTGTACTGATCTTCCACCATTACCATTGGAACTAAAAATCCGATTCTGAGTCCACAATGTTTTTATATGATACTGTGAGCAATCGTGACGTAAATTTCAGTTCAGTCAAATGCCTGTCGAAAGATAAGTCGAGTGCTTGGGTCAAATGAGAACGTCTGGAAGGCACAGAGTCACTGGAAAAGTATGGGTCGATTCGTATTGGAGAACCGCAAAGAGACTGTACACTCGACTCTCGAGAAAGTCAGGACTTTCCTTCTGCAGCTAGAAACTGCAAGACAAAACACGAACACGCAATCCGTTACCTGATCAACCACATCATCCACAGTCCGATCGATCATAACTCGGTGCGTAACGTGATGTGTGTCCACCTTTTCACCAACCTTTCTACTTGGTAATACGCTCATTCCGTCAGCACTCACCGAGCTTTTTTCTCTCGCGTCAGAACGAGAAGCATTGTTATTGGGTTAAATGGATCTTATTTCTCTCATTTTCGAATCTGTGGGTAAAACAATGATTGGTCACTATTTGAAACGTGTAGTGCACTAATAATAATGAAATACATACTTGTGTAAGTGTCATTTTCACCGTCGTTGTTTTCTCTCTATCATTGTGCCTCTGATTCTATTGATTTTACCCTGATACTGGTGTCTCGTGTTTATGCTAAATATTTATCGTGTTTCTACTTCGTAATCTGTCTGTGATCGTAGATTTTTCAATGGAGAGTTAAATAATTGTGTAAAACTGGATGTGGTTAGTTGACTAGGTGAATAACGAACATTTGTTCCCTAGACAACGTTGTACAATACTCATCGTGCATCGCAGTATCGAGAAACGGGGAACCTTGCCACAGAAACAATTCAGTGTTTGAAATTCTTTTTTTGCTACAGCACGCTATACGGAATAAATAGCAGATGGGAATCCGTAAGCATTGTAGTTTCCTTCATTTTATGTACAAAAGAAAATGGTCTCGAGTCGTGTCTACACAACAAATTTTTCGGCTGCGATGTGAAAAATGGCATTCAATAATTCCATCACGACATTTAAAAGTGGTAAACTATGAAGTCCTAATGTTCAATTGTTAGCTAAAGATGAGATACTTCGAATACGATCGACTTTATTCAATTTTATCATATATAACTATTTATGTGGGTGTGTAGTGCAGTGGTCGGAGGTGCCCTGCAACACACGCGTGGAAGCGATCCCCGTGCCCATGGCCCAACAAGCATTCCATCCCTCCGCGGTCGGAAAATTGGTACCAGACTTGTCTTGCAGGATATCAGCACTGCTCCGTACATCAATGGGCCACTGCGAGTCATTTTAAAGGCCAGCTATGCATTAAACCACCTCCAACGATACTAAGTTCCCTCAGGGATACATCAAAGCTGAGAGCTTTATCCTTTTTTTATAATTATTTAATTGCCGAACCAGTCATGTGGGCATGAGCAAAATCGTCTAATCGTCCAGTATCCTGTTGAGTCTCGCTTGTTCTAAAAAGATGAAGTGTTTGACACTTTAGGTATAAGCACTTTTTCGTTGTAGTGTTAATGGTTGAAGACATTATAAGTTTTTAGCCAGGTTCTCCCAATGACTGTTTGTATCAGCGGGCAGTCTTTCCCTGATTATGCGCGGGATTTTTGTCACTGAAAGCGCTGAATCAGCTTTCACACGTTTCTCATCTCGTAACTTTCAGGCCTAATGAAGGTAGGGGAAGATACAGTCCGCGAACGCTTATACCCATAGAATTACGTACGAACACAGAGGAGCATAAACAAACTTGGCTGCATTCCAGATTAATGACATTGTCGCATTTCATTCTGGATTTAACTCCTCATTCCATCCACCACCTGAGGACTAGGTAGGTAGCATTGTTTGAAATCTTCCCGAGATCTTTCACATGAGGAAGACTTGTGCAACGACAAACATGATTAGAACGTGTGGTAAAAATTTTAAGAATGTGAAATTAAAGAGTTTTAACTGATCACCGAACTAGATTAAAAAAGAGATTTAAAACAAAGAAATCCTAGAAGTACCTTGACCTCGTGTTTCACTACAGAAATCTGGTACCTTTTCTTGGTGTACCACTAATCATTTTTAGAATAACTCTCTCGTTTTTCAACATAACGGCAAGAAATGTACCCAAATTTGATGTTCCACCTGATTTTTGATTGTAATCTTTTACAAATTAGTGTTTATGGCTGATCGCTAGTCTGCATGGATAAGGGCTTGTTTTATCAAATTTGAAACGTCTACCATCATTTTGAAGAGAACAGTTGCGCTAATTAATGTTTATTTACGTCTCACATTTCTTTGCTACTTTCTCCCTGCTACGATGTGTTTTTTCTGATCCTCTTTCATTTCTAAACGAGAAAAAAATTTTCATTTCTGAGCGAGTTTTATCGCAGATCTATACAACAGGTGAAGGCAGTTGGTTATACTTTGCCTATTCCGTCATCGTTCCACTTAGAACTGGATTTCTGGTGATGGAAACCTTCTGTACTCAAATAGCTCAGATCTTTATTCCTCCCTCACACTGAATATTCGGTTATTCCTGGCTCCTGAACACTGAACTTCGCGCAATATGAGATTCTCTGTTAGCAGGTGAACATATTGGCATATTTTTTCTTGCATTCATAAGCTTACATAAGGTTACTACAGAAATAAGTAAAGAGATTCTCCAATTGACAGGATTCCACTCCATTTGACTACGAAAACCCACATCACAAGCGTGAAAAGCAGTAGACAGCAGTGAATATCTCACTCGAAACACGCAACGAAACATTGCGGCTCCAAAAAAGGTGAACGCGCCGAAACGTTAGCGGTAACGATGATTTGGTAGCAACCTCCTGTGAGCGTATGCACATATGAAAACACTGAATATGAATGTCGAATTTGAACGAAGATCGGCTTTCAAGAATTATCTTTTTTCACATAATTTTAAGTCCATGTGGTTGTTTTCTGAAGACTTCTATCGAAGAGATACAGCTTGATTACGAATCACTGTGCACTTTTCGTGAACCATTCCTGAGCAGCCAAAAGATACTTTCCAATCAGTTAGCCAAGAAATCGATGAAACTTAATGAAGTGTTAGGTTACTTCGTCATGTTCGAATTGGTTACGGTATTCCAAAAACTTATTGGTTAGAATCTCCATTTCCTTTCATATAGCAATATTCTTATATGAATAGTAATGATAGGTATACATTCCGCTTCGCTGATTTCCTGGCTACTCGAATCAAGAATACTAAACGACGTTGCCACAGCAATCACTTCCTGTTTCAGTCTTTGTCGACGACCAAGGATTTTGTTTCTTACGTTGATGCATGTATGGATCCCGTTAAAGGTATTTTCTGCGAGAAGACGATATCGTATCCAACCATGCTTTTACAAATTGTTTAACAATTGTCCTATTTGATTGATTAATATTTAAGACCTCAGTTTCTGAGGAAGTTGATGAAGGCTCGCCGTACACACAAGGACTAGTGGAGAAAACGTTTAAAGGAAGCGCATCTTTAGACGGTGAAGACGACAGAACTGGAATTCCTGAGAGAATAGAAAACTCCAGGAGCAAAGGTTGGCGTCCATTAAACAAAAACTCTGAAAAAAGTATATTTTCCAGTTGCCATTAGCCATGGCAAATTAGAGAAGATGCTTCTATCCATGACCTAAAGTTTCCCCTTTCGTCATCTCCGACCAGTTAGCTTCACTGAAAAAATTACTGATAAAATGCATTAGAAAGAAGATATACTAGTTTAGTTTAAATGTAAATCAAAAACTAATTAAGAAATTATGAATGATGGCCGCTGACGAATTGCCGTACAAATAGCCAAAGACATGCTTCTCATTTAAAGGTCTTTGAATACCATGAAGGCTAGAGAAAGAAAAGATGTTCAAGAAATTAATGCTTAAAGGACTCACACGAATATGGTAGGAATATGATGAAGAGCTATCGGTGGTTGCTTTCCAGTGGTCACATTGATGTTTATTATATACAAATGAGTACTAATTATGTGTAAATGCGTCCAATGCTGTGGTCACGAATTTACATTGTGCAAGTGTGTCTGTGTCTGTGTTTGTCTTTATCTGTCTACCTGTCTGTCTGGATGTATTTTAATTTTAGATGACCATAACGGTATCGTCTGTAAACAATCCGCCATGTTGTTGCAACATAAACTGTACGTTTTGTATACTCATAACCGGTTACGAAGCAAATTAGCGTTAGGAAAGCAGCAGAATAAGGAAGGAATGATGGGAAGTGGGAAAAATATTTACACCGTGGTGAGTTTTTCATTGTACTTTGAACGTTTGTACTTCTTAGAAGGGAGTAATTCAACAAACATGGGCCCGAATTCAATATAGAGGACTTTAACGGCAGTGCCGCGTTTCTGAGAAGTTTAGAACGTGAACAGCGAATGAAAGCATATGAACAAGAAGTAAACACTCATTTTATTCGAAGGGAAAAGTATGTGGTTTTATGTAAAACTATCTTTTTATAACTCACTTTTTTCTTTATAAGCACACACAAGGTTTTTGCTACCATCTTGCATGGTTTATCTTCTTAATCGTGATTTTTTCACACTAGATTTTGTTAGGAGCGCATGTGGCGCAGTGCTCGGAGGCGCTCTGAGAAATACATCAGCAAATTGGTACCAGAATTGTCTGAGAGTATAGCAGCACTGACTCGATACATCGGCATGACAACTTGAGTCATTGTAAAGGCCAGACATGCATTTCAATCACCTCCAGCGAAGCTTAATGAAGTCGAATGCATGGCGCATCGCTCAGGGGTTGAGCCGAGAGTTTTATACTTTTTTTTAGATTCTATTAATTTTCTTGCTTACTGAGCAATTGGCTAAGCAGTGTTTGAATTTTAAAATACTCCTTGACTTCATTCTTATAAATTTAGAGATGGGATTGCGATCTAGAGTTCATGGCTCACAAGTGGACAAAATCCTGTACACCATTATTTATGCCAAGTGTGACCTCTCTCTCAGGAGCTCAGCTCGTCAAAGGGTAGGTGAAAAGATAGTAATCAGTAGACTTCGCCCCTGAAAACCATCATTCGCAATGGGTGGACCACAACAATAGCGACAACGCTTCTCATTATTGATCGGGTGAAAATCGCAATAAGGCTGCAGTCAAAACTATCAATGGTGGAAAATTTTATGATAGTGCAAGATTACAGATTTGACACCATATTCCACGGAAGGAATATCGCACAACATATTGATCATGCCATGCGGTCATGGTGGACAGAATATAAGAGGCATGGGAATGTTGATCATAAAAACCGCTACTTCTCACGGCAGCTCTACTATGGATGGGCAAACGTAAGCGAGCTAATCTAAAGAGTGGTTTAAAAAAACTTCTTTTACAGGGGATATAGCAAATGGTTCGTTATTAATGTTACAGATGGCAAAAGGAAAATCGACTCGTATTGGCTGTTCTTATTCAACGTGCGATGGAAAACGAAAAGCTCTGTTCTCTTGTGTCTACGATGAAAAGTGAGTAGAACCTTCTGATGAAAGAAATTAGCCTTGATGTTAAATATTAGTAAACGCTCCTCTAAAAGCAAAGATAATAAAATGTTAAGCTGAAAAACGAATTTGTGAACTAGTAATTAAAGGATAAGCAGCAAATTAGTTTTCGCACCGTTTGACAGAATACTTTAAACAGTTTTCACGTAAGTGAAAGGATTTTGTTACACTCCGGATAGCTTCAGAAATATCTGACTGGATCGTTTAAAGCCTAAAATTTCACAAAATCGCATAACTTTACAATAGAACCGAAATTTTCAGGGCGCAATATGAGAGCCAGCAAATATATGAACCAGGAAAGCCGTGCCAAGCCGATGACGATTGCTCTACTTATCCTCACTCTAAATGCCTCAGTTCATTAGGGCTATGTCAAAAACCTCGCAAGGAAACAGGTATGAGCAGCCAACTAAATAGAGTGTATTGTTTCTTAATAAGCTTGCACGAGGTTAATAAATATATTTATTTTCGGC